CTTATGAGAGCACCATGTGAGCACCTGTGTGTGTACACGTGCTTGTTTATGTAAGGTTTCTCTATAGGAGCGTCCAACAGAGAGTGTGAGGAACCACAGATCTGCCCCCCAAAGATGTGAAGGAGATGGAGGGAGCTCCAAGTCCCAGAGATCCAGGAGCTGCCCCAGAGCACAGAGACCCCAAGGAGACCGCAACCAGAAAAGCCCCCGCCCCCCTCGAGAGGCGCAGAGGATCGCCTCGGGGGGCCACAACCAGCAGCCGGCAGAGTCACGGGAGATATCAGCGGCAAGCCCACAGGCCCGCCCACAGCCTCCCACCCCCAAGCCGGCCGAGCCCGGGACCCAGCAACCTGGGACCCAGGGGCGACCACCCCCGCCGGGGACCTAGCAGAGCCCAGGGACCCAGATCCCACCAGGCAGCCACTAAAGATGTCCCAGGAGAAGGGAGGAGTCAAAGGTCCCACCTGGCATATACAGTCATACACAAACACAGTCACACACTCCGTCCCTCATGCTCACACATGCACATACAACCAAAGACTTACAAAAATGCACGCCGGACACCCACTCATGCTCCCCATACACACCCTATTCACTCTGGTCCCGGTACTGCAGCACATGGGGTGCAACCATTACCGGTTCCCAGAGTTCGACCCTTTCTGCTGGGGTGCTGATGCGCAGGCTCCCCCACCCAACGCTGAGCACAGCAACCCACCGCCCCAGACCCCAACCAGACGGCCAGATCTCCCTCCTAGCCTCCAGCCCCAGGAAGCCAAGCAACAACAGAGGTGTGCTAAGACCCCTAGTCTCCCTCTGCCTGCTCCAATATAGTGTTAGTGAGTGTTGATGAGGTGTATTCCATGGCTGTGGTGAGCGGGAAGAGCGGGCATCTTCTGGCCTACGCCAGCTGATGCCACCACACTACCCCACTTGCACCCACAGCCCTCAGTGTCTAAGTGCAGTTTAAACATTTAATTTGAACGCACACGTTTTTTGTGTTCTTGGTCAGAAAAAACAAGGTTCGTCACTAGCCCTGAAGGTCCATCCAGCCCAGGTTTTACGGAACAAACAAGTTAAAAACACAAATTTTCTGTATTTTCAATGCTTGGATAGATGTTTTTAGCTCAAGCAACAGGGGACTTTAGCAAGAAACAATGCCGAGTCCAACATACCCCCAAAGACTCGTGTCTCAGGCTACACAAAGTTCATGAATCACAGTTTGAGCTACTTGGTGTGGCTTATGAAATGAAACGATTAGAAGAAATCCTGAATCATTAATCAGTTAAATCCTCCTGACATATTGGAACGGGCATGTAAATAAAACCACGAGTTGCTTAAGACATGCTGAGCCACGTGATTAAGGGTTTAATAGGTGAAGGAAAGAATTATGACAGGAATAAAATGGCTGAAAGGGGAATTTTCCATCTTTATGCAACAAGGAGCGACGGTGTCACAAGAGTGCTCGGCCCGTAATCGGAAGGTTGCTGATTCGAGGCCCACTCAGTGTCACACGCGTGCCGGTGAGTGGAGCGGAGGTAGGATCCAAACGTGGGGAGGAAAAAGGCAAACAGGTAGGTACTTTTACCATAAGTTTAATAATGACACGCGCTGGACAAATGAAACAATGAACCGGCACAGGACACAGAACAGACAGGGTTTAAATACAGGAGGGTCGGGAGCTTGGGTGATTGGGAGACGAGAGGCAGGTGGGAGCAATCAATGGAGACACATGACTAAACAGAACGGGGAGACAAGACAAGGTGTGACAGTACCCCCTCCCCCTCAAAGGGCAAATCCCAGACACCCACAGGAACAAAGAGCAGGGCGGGAAGGAGGGGGACCCAGAGGGAGGGTCCAGAGGAACCGATGGAGAGGAGGCAGGAACCAGCAGAGTCCGGGGGACTGCGCCTGGGACAGAGGAGGAGACAACGGGCTCTCGGGGGCCGGTGTCTGCGGTAGAGGAGGAGACGATGGGCTCTTGGGGGCCTGCGTCTGCGGTAGAGGAGGAGACGACAGGCTCTTGGGGGCCTGCGTCTGCGGTAGAGGAAGAGACGACGGGCTCTTGGGGGCCTGCGTCTGCGGCAGAGCAGGAGGCGACGGGCTCTTGGAGGCCAGCGTCTGCGACAGAGGAGGAGGCGACGGGCTCTTGGAGGCCGGTGTCTGCAGCAGAGGAGGAGGCGATGGGCTCTTGGAAGCCGGCATCTGTGGCAGAGGAGGCGGCGAGGGGCTCTTGGAGGCCTGCGTCTGCGACAGAGGAGGAGGCGACGGGCTCTTGGAGGCCGGCGTCTGCAGCAGAGGAGGAGGAGACGGACTCTTGGGGGCCCGCGCCTGGCGAGGGCAGGGCCGGCGGTGGCCGAAAGCAGGAATGCCGGAGGAGACTCCCCGACTGGACGCGGCTTCGTTGGGCTACAGGGCCCGTCGACTTCTGGAGTGGGTTAGGCGACTTCAGAAGAGGCAGCGACTTCAGAAGAGGCAGCGACTTCAGAGGAGACGTCGACTACAGAAGAGACGTCGACTACAGAAGAGACGTCGACTACAGAAGAGACGTCGACTACAGAAGAGACGTCGACTACAGAAGAGACGTCGACTACAGAAGAGACGTCGACTACAGAAGAGACGTCGACTACAGAAGAGACGTCGACTTCAGAAGAGACGTCGACTTCAGAAGAGACGTCGACTTCAGAACACGAGGAGGCGTAGACTTCAGAACTGGAAGAGGTGTCGACTTCAGAACGGGAAGAGGCGTCGACCACAGAACAGGACAGGGCGCCGACCCCCATCGACTTCCGGTCCGGAGGCGTCGACTTCTGGACCGTCGACCTCTGGTCCGTCGACTTCTGGTCCAGGGTCGTCGGCTTCTGGTCCGGGGGCTTCGGCTTCTGGTCCAGGGGAGTCGACTTCTGGTCCGGGGGCGTCGACTTCTGGTCCTTCGACTTCTGGACCGCCAACTTTTGGACCGGAACCGTCAGCTTCTGGGCCGGTACCGTCAGCTTCTGGGCCCGATCCGTCTGCTTTTGGGCCAGTTCTGTCTGCTTCTGGGCCCGATACATTTGCTTCTGGGCCTGATCCGTCTGCTTCTGGGCCGGTACCGTCTGCTTCTGGGCCGGTACCGTCTGCTTCTGGGCCGGTACCGTCTGCTTCTGGGCCCGATCCGTCTGCTTCTGGGCCAGTTCCGTCTGCTTCTGGGCCCGATCCATCTGCTTCTGGGCCGGTTCCGTCTGCTTCTGGGCCCGATCCATCTGCTTCTGGGCCCGATCCGTCTGCTTCTGGGCCAGTACCGTCTGCTTCGGGGCCCGATCCATCAGCTTCGGGAGCCGATCCGTCAGCTTCGGGGCCCAATCCGTCAGCTTCTGGGCCGGCACCGCTGTAGGAGGGGCTGCCTGGACAGGCTGGACTGGATGCGGTGCGACCTCCGGGACCACCGCTGGAACTGGATGCTGTAGAACTGGTGGTGCTGAAAGCCATGAAAGCAGGGAGGACAGACCGTCTAGCTGAAGCTCCTTGAGGCTGAGGGTCCGATGGAGCTGGGCCAGCTCAGCCCGGAGACCGGCAAGCTCCACTGGGTGGACCCCGGACTCGCTCCTCTGTCCCTGAGATGAGGGAGCCGCTGGATGGACTGAGACCCTCTCCTGGTGGTTCGAGGAGGATTGAGCATCCAGGCGGGACTCCTGGAAGCTGACGAGCTGGCGGACCCGGCCAAGCTCCGCCTGGAGACTGACGAGCTCCGTCAGCTGGGCTGCGGCAAAGCTCCTCCGCCTGCACATGATGGAGGCTCTGATTGGGCTGGTCTGACCGGGGGCGGTCCCACGCTGCTGCGTTGAGCTGGGGCAGCAGCAAGCTCGCAGCTCCGTCCCGGAACAACGGACTGCGGTGGTACCCGGCGTCTTTCCCCACGCCGTGGACCAACTCCGGGGGAGCAGACAGCCAGCCTCGTGCCCTCGTAGCCAGAGCGATCCAGGGGCGTCTACCGGTCCAAACTCCCCTTCGGTTCCAGGAGGGCGGCGAGGATAGCCGAGGGAGCAGGTCGGTGCCGTCGTCTGCGGCGAGGCGGAGCTGGAGAAGGAGAAACCAGCCGATGGTCAGAGGAGAGGAATTGGAGCAGGCACTCCCATGGGTGGATCTCCCCGTTGGATCCTTGGTACGGCCGGTTCATTCTGTCACACGCGTGCCGGTGAGTGGAGCGGAGGTAGGATCCAAACGCGGGGAGGAAAAAGGCAAACAGGTAGGTACTTTTACCATAAGTTTAATAATAAAACACGCTGGACAACTGAAACAATGAACCGGCACAGGACACAGAACAGACGGGGTTTAAATACAGGAGGGTCGGGAGCTTGGGTGATTGGGAGACGAGAGGCAGGTGGGAGCAATCAATGGAGACACATGACTAAACAGAACGGGGAGACAAGACAGGGTGTGACACTCAGTTTGTCGCTGTCATTGTGTCCTTGGGCAAGACACACACACCCACACACAACATATATACCAAGTAGTGTTTCTATGGTTACATTGTGATTTCTTGGTAAATATTCTATTTGGTGAGAGATAAACTTTATTGTATTTATCCTAGTGGATCTATAATTAAACGGGTAAACTAGTAGTAGCACATCCAACGTCAAAGAGAGTAAAATATTATTATTGTATTATCAATAGTGATGATGATTATATAAGTTTCTTCTTAAATGTCTGGATTCAACTAATCATTAAAACATAAATGAACAAGAAGTTTGTTCTATTCAACAAGTTTCCATTACAAGTTACTGAGCTTCAAACATTGAGCCAGAATAACTGATTCATGCTTTAACTTTAATCTTTCTCGTGGCCTTTTCAAAAAGCCGAACATTCAGTATTTCTGAACATGAAAGAGCTTTGCAAACAAAACATGCAGCCTGATAAGAAACATGTGAACTTCAGCTTGACCAAGGCCTTTTAAACTAAAGATGTTTGCCCCTCCCCTTGCTCTCTGATTGGCTGACAGACAGTTCGGCTGCAGATGATTTATGATGAGCTGAAAGGTCGATGCCACTTCTTCTGCTGCAAACACCAGAACAGGTAAGCTGCTCCGAGAGCACTGCTGACATCACTAAACCTGACGCTGCTCAGTTAGACTGGCTCAAATCAGCTGGTTCAGACAGGGACGGGTTAGTTAGAGACATGGATTGGGTTATTTAGAGACAGGGATGTTAGTTAGAGACAGGGATGAGTTAGTTAGAGACATGAATGGGTTAGAGACTCTCTCACCCTGCAGCCAGTGCCCACCAGGGGTCTGACCTCTAATGACCCCAGGCCCGCTGAGCGTTGTTCAACCTGAGCCAGGAGGACATTTGGACCCAAAATATAGACACCCAGAACGACATGAGGCAGGAGTGGATGAAAATGAAAACATTCCTTTATTAGGAAGGAGAACAAAAAATTACAAACGGGCAGGAAGCAAAAAACAAAAGTCCTGAAACCCTGGAGACCAAAAGCTCACTTAAAGAGCACAAAACCTAGAGACGAGGAACAAAACAACGCTGACACTAAACAATGGACCGACAAAACACTGAGACACAGACAGGGTTCTATACACTGGGGAGGATGAGCCTGGGGGTGAAACGACCTAAGAGAAAAACCTAAAGACCAGAAGGGCAGCAAACATAACTAATATTCTAAGGGGGAAGCTGAAACTAAAGGAAAACACTACAGAAAGAAAAACTACAAGAAACTCCTGAAGACCCTGCTCTTCAGAGAGCATCTTCTTAACTAGCACCTTGCCTGCACCCGTCCCCCCTCTCTACTGTCCACTCCTTGTTCCCTCCTCTCCATGACTGATGTCAATGTGTTGTTGTTGTTGTTGTTAGCCTCAAGGGCAAAATGCTGATTATCACTTGTGAGTGGCTTTGGACAAAAGCGTCTGCTAAATACATAAACATAAACATAAACATAAACATAGAGGGGGCCAAGGGAGCACAGGACCTGGGAGGGGGATGCCTGAGGAGGGAAACCTAGGGGGCTGAAGATCTGGGGACAAATGGGGAACACCAGGAGACACAGGAGAAAGATGCAGACAAGGACACATGAGGGCACTAGGAGACACAAAAGGAGAACCTAGAGAGGGATGGAGAACACAAGGAGACACATGAGGGGAGACGCAGACGCAGACCATGACAATAATGTTGAGAACTTTATTTAAATATCTTCATGTTTATTCATTTCATGAGGATTTTTGTGTTGTACTGTCTGAAGAACGAATCAGAACACAACATTAAAACTACTTGAAAGGTTTAATTTTTAACTAAGTTTTGAATGTTAAAAGGGCGTTATGGAAGTTTGACAGCCAAAACATGTATAGAAATAATAAATGTCTTCTTCATACATTCTCCTGCAATGCCCTGGTCCTGTAGAATGAGCCCTGGCATTTTTACTGTGATTGCCTGTTTTTCTGTAAAATCACAGAAAAAGAGAGATGCTCGGGTCGAGCAGGCTGCTTCATGCGCGTTCACGCTCAGGCATCGCCCGTAGCATTTGCTATCCGTAGCTTTAGCAGCAGAGAGAGAGGCAGTGCCACTTTGTCGCTGTTCCTAACGCCTAGTGACAAAGCTAGCTACATTTCTGAGGACCCTTAGCTACTTTCTGTAGAACTTTCTTCTAGATATTTCCTGCTAATTAGCAACAAAATAGCCATTTTCACTCTGAACCGTTCTTTGGTTTGACGTTGTTTCAGCTGTCATCAAGGATATAAAAGTTACAGATACTGTGAATGTTACTAGAGTGTGGCTCGCCTTAGCCCCCTTCAGACAGGCCATGAAAAACAGAAATGTTCAGGACTCTGTCCGTAAGACCTTTGTGTCTGAATACAAACATCCGGATAACGTTTTCCGTAATTAAACCGGACGACGCCCCTAGTAACAGGACGGGACTTGTCATGGACAAGGTGGCTGCTTCAGACTGGTGAGGTCGAGTTCCGGACAGGGAGGAGGGGGAGGAGGAGGGGACCGGGGGCGCTGTGCGTACCTAGATAGTTCGCTCCTGTAGCATGCAGCGAACCATGGCAGCTCGCCTCCTACGGTACCGTCTAGACGTGCGACGGAGCGCTTAACACCGCTTCCGCGATTCCTTTAACCATTGAGCTTTATCATCCAGGTCTCTTATGCGTCTTCGTGTACGCAGAATTATGCTTAACATAAGTCCGATCAGTGAGAAGAATTCTATCTCGTCGTCTGCCATGTTTGACTGAATGGCTTTGTTTGGGTAAATGACGCATGTACGCCCACCGCACCATGTTCACGCAATATCTGGGTACAGCCTTCCGACCCCCTCCCCCTCAGACATCTGGAACTTTTCCCTGCTGTGTGAACGCAGCCGAAAGGACACGTTCAGGTACAAAAGTGGTGTGTCTGAAAACACAGTTCTGGTTAAAAACCGGACTGAATTGTCCACACATATTCCAGAATGTCAATCTGAAAAGGGCTCTTGTAAGATGTCGGACTCTCATGCAGAAGACCCGGGTTTGATTCTGGGTGTGAACATAGTTTATTTAGAGTTTCTTTTTTACATTAATGGTATATTTTTACAGTAAGATGCCCAAATTTTTATTTGAGACTCGCCGAACGGCATTGAATTCACAGATAAAAAGATGTGGGTCCAACGTTCATTTTGGAACATTTTTCAAGCAAGGGAAGGGAATGATCTGAGCATGCAGGAGGACTGACCCATCATAAACCTTTGTCGGCTGTGCTGAAGAGAAAGGTACAGAACCAAATTATTTAGTTAATTAGCTGCGCATTCTCCTGTCCTCTGTCCTCCAGGCCACACACACACACACACACACACACACACACACACACACACACACACACACACACACACACACACACACACACACACACAGGACTGTCTCAGCTGTTATTTTCGTTAAGGAGTGTGCACGTACAGCATGCGCGCCTCGTGCACGAGCCTACTATTGAAGCTGCCGTTACGCTTTTGGCCTGAGGGGGCGATCGCGAGCATAAAAATTCAAAAGTCCATAAAGTCTCTTTAAACATTGTTTGTTGAAATTCTTCTGGTATATGTGAGAATGTACGTAAATAAATAAACAGGAGAAAATAATAGAATGTGGTATAATCTTAGGCCACTTTGCCCGTTCCTACCCAAATGAATTATACACCAGCTTTTATCAAGCACCCCCTCTTCTGCATGTTTTCCAAGTCTCTGCTTCAGCTCACCTGATTTATATCTACATGGCCTTCTCAGGATGACATCAAGTGCTGCAGAAACCTATTAATCACTCATTCGTTTAGACCAGGTGTGTGGCAGCAGGAAAACACCTAAAACATGGTGGATGGGGGTCGTGAGGACCAGAAACACTATGAAGGAAAACCAGAGCAGCTGCTCCTGAGAGAGCCTGAAGCCTCATTCACCCAAATGCAGAATGGATGTGATCTAGTTTCACATGGATCAGAAATCATCGGGTCCAATCAGAGCATTTACACCAGCTGTGGTGTGGATCTGAATATAGAGCTCCAGATAGTTTCCACATGGAGCTTCTTTTCTGGAGCCTGCATGAGGATTGTTAAAGTTAGAGTTCACCTGAGAAGTTAGATGTAGCTCAGTGCAGGGTCCGAAATTAAATTTTTTACTCACCGGCCAAGTTGGCTGGTAGATGATGAAAATCTACCGGCCAAGCATATCTTTTACCGGCCAAAATTCTAAATAATTTAGATCTACCTAAAGCATGTTATTCTATATTATGTTGATTCCAAACAGAGTGACAAAATAATTAAAACATCAATTAATAAGAAAAACAACTCTTTTGTCATTTTTACTATTTATTTATTTATTTATTTTTAGAGATGTTTTTATGAACTCTTTCATTGAAATCTAGTCAGACTCCTTGTTTTCTCTGTCCATGAAGTCTGGCCTCCTGCTTCTGACACCGTCTTTGTGCCAAAGCATTACAGCCTCATTTGGGTCCTAGTCCTTGATCTCTGGAGAACACAGCTGCACCATGAGAATATCTGAAAGTGTGTCAGGGCTAGGGTTGTCACGGTAACCGGTGTAGCGGTAAACCCCGGTAAAAAAGTTGACAATAATAATAACCGTCTTGTTTTTAAAAACTATATTATCTCGGTGGGTTACCGTGGCTGCGGTGTAGGCGTGGTGACCCTTACCAGCCACCGTATCATCTGCTGAAGTTGCCGGCGGCACATGCGCACTTTGTTGTTTACGACCAAAACATTCTTTAAGCTAAAGCTGAAATAATGGCCAAAGGAGACGGTTCTCGGGACATTTATTATCCCTCAAAGAAGACAAAGTCAGAAGTATGGGCATTTTTTGGATATTTGAAGAATGCCGAGGGACAGTTGATAGAAGACGGCTATCCTGTTTGCAGCACGAGCAGAAAAAGTGTCTGTGAAAGGCAGCAACGCTACGTGGCCATCATAATGTAGCCATTGTCTCACGACTCCGCCATCTCCGGTTCGCCACTTTTCACAAAATCTTCTGGTTGCCACTGGTCCTAGTGGTTTTTCTTCCAGTTCGACGAGTTTTCTTTGGAAGGCTGGCTGACTCCAGTTAAAAACCGCCACATTTCACTGCTAGTTTTAACACGAAGCTAACTGCTAACTTGATAAACTGATTGAATGGGATAGGTGGAAATGACGCTGGATGCAGCGCTCTCGTTTCGCGTACGTTTGTGTACGTTGCATGCAGGCGGGAGGAGTATCAGAAATCCATGGAAGATGACTGATGAACATAACTAATTTGGTGCAAACATTTACTCGCCATGTGGCAGATAGAGCTCAAAAATTTACTCGCCAAATGGAGCAATTTGCCCGCATTTGGCGAGTGGCGAGTGTTAATTTCGGACCCTGGCTCAGTGTTAAGGAGATTTCATCATATTATTTTCATTTAATAGTTCTACTTTTGGGGACTCGTCAACACGTTTGAGTAAGAGGTACTTGTGGTACGAGAACACGGCTCAGAGGCTCCACGGGTCATAAAAGGTTGGGAACCACTGTCCCACACCAGTATTGTTGTATAGCGACTTTCTGAGTCAGAGGACGCTTTACACT